AACAACAACAATCAAACTGACGAAACACAAATACATCGCAAAAAGAGGAAAAGCAATCATTAAGAAAAAACGAAACGAACGACAGCAAGCATGGCCCAAAACTACCAACGCCGCTACAACACGGTAGCAGCAACAAAAACAGCCACCTCAAAGGACCCATCCCAAATTGTATCCAACGTCGATCATGAGACACTTCGTTTCCTGTTGGAAGCCCCAAAAATTAAAGGAGAGAAAGTCACAATCAAGATCAGAAACGTTAAGGACAATACCGATGAGGAAGACCGCTTGGGCGTACCCAAAAGACAAGATCGCCGACACCAACGCGACATACGAGAAGCATGCACTCATCTTCTCCTTCTCCAACGCCGGTGCAAGACTCTCCCCTATTGAGAAAAGGAAATGGATGGTGAAAACCATCCAGGAACATGAGAACATCAAAACAGAAGTTGACATGTTCTCCCTGCTAGGCCTGGGAAGAACCATGATGATGGTGGTCTTCAAAGATGCAGACCAAGCAACTCACATGTTGGAGAAATGTGAAACCTTGAACTGCAATGGATTTGTCTGCACCCTGCCAAACTGGAAACCGGAGACAGCCCAGCGAGCTGAAGTCTCACCAGCTCCCTCCTACAAACAGCGGTTGATGACGGAGCAGTTCTGGGTACAATTCGACAACATCCAACCCAGAGGCGACCACCTGAAAGGACCAGTTGGAAGTCGACTACCCGGCAAACAAAGTGATAAAGTGGGTCCTCCCCACGCCCGACTTCCTGGCCCCCCAGTGCGATTCCCTAACAGCAATCCTGGAGGTACTGACCGACGACCCCCCGGTGTTCCCAGAGGAGTGGCAGTCTCATTGGGGACAAAGTCACATCAGTAACAATGTCTACCAAAGCTTCGCCAATCTGCTTCAGGTGCGAGAAAGAGGTCACCTGGGAACAGATCCCAAATGCCCACGCTCCCCTGAACAGAAAAAACTGAGACAGAACATGCTCGTCGAAGTTGAAAAGGCCAAAGGTATCTGGTTCGTCAATGACCCAAACTACGACGGCTGGGTCTTCGACGACAACATCCCAGAGCCTAAGTGGATATGGACATACACGAACACAACTCCGACAACCAAACAGCCAGACATCTTCCCACCGCCAGACAGCAAATGGCACCACGCGGGAGCAAAGAAGATAACAGGGATCCCAAGGAAAATCTACTCAGACCCGGTGGTGGACTCCCGGGCGATCAAAGAAGAGAAGAAACACGAAGACCTATTGTGGGATCTCGATTCAATCAGACAGCAGACTGCAGACGCCCTCGCCAAGCGAGAGGATGACAACAACATCCTGGGCCCAGCCAAACAGATCATCAAGGAACGCACCATTCAGACCGACCCCTCCTTCAAGAGACAGGCCTCACCACGAAAGGAGAACACCGAGACACCAAGTGGGAAGAAAATAAGAAAGAACAACTCAACTGAAAAGGGAAGCACCCCCGATGACACATAGAGCACACAGGCAGCCCCGAATGATTCAGACCCCAACCCAACAACAGATCAGGACTGTACTCACAAAGGAATGGACATATCTCCCTCCAAGAGCGACATAGTAGGCAAACCAAAAGAACAAGGAGACTCCCCCGTCGCCTGGCTGCAGGAATATATGGAAAGAGCCAAAAATGAGAGGGAGAAAGAATTCGACATCCGAATGGCATGCATGAAGCATTAGGAGAAGACAGGCCGGAGCAGCAAAGGCCTGGTAGCAGGCATCCACACATCCACGAACACCTACGACATCCTGAGAGAACAAAGTTGAGTTGTCAGAATTCAGTGCCTTCATAAAACTAACAGATAGTTGCTTTCACATCGACCAAGCAGGATTCATCCCGGGTCCATACATTCTGGGTAATGTGATGGCTCTAAATGAGGCCGTAAAGTCACGGAAAAACGAATGCAAGCGGCGATCTTATTCTTCGACTTTGAAAAGGCGTACGATCAACTCAATTGGGACTTCCTCCACAGCTGCATGGAGAAGATGGGAGTCGGCCCAAACTTCAGAGAATGGGTGAGAGTACTCTATGGGGATGCCACGGGCAGGGTGCAGATAAACATAATACTGTCAGAAACCTACCTGATCGAGATCCGTTCGGCAAGGCGACCCCCTTGCACCCCCAATATTCCTGTTCATAATGGAAGCCATCGCATCTTCCCTATGCAAGGACCCATCCATAGACCGCCTCACCGAACAAAACTACAACCCCCTCCACGGCTTTGCTCTCCCCACTGCACAGATGTTCGCAGACGATCTCACGGGCCTCATTCACGCTAACAACTCCTTCCAGGCCCTAGCCCGCGTCATGGAAGCCTTCAGACTCGCCTCAGAAATGAAGGTGAATTGGCTGAAAACGGAAGGGTGGTGGCTCTCAGAAGGCACCCCCCCCCAACCCCTGACCCATCCACCCCAATGTCTTGGACTACAACCGATCAAGCACTTCGATATCTAGGCATGGTAAACAGGGACGACATCTGGCAAGGGATGGGGGAGTCACTGCTCGCCAGAGCAATAACCCGTTTAGCCACCTGCAACAAAGCCCAAGCCTACCTACTAGGGAGAGCCCTGATTATCAACACAACAATATTCTCCACCTTGTGGTACATGGCCTCCATATGGTGGCCCCCCGACGACGACCTGAAGAAGCTGAAGGCGAGAGCCAGGTGCTATTTGTGGACTGGTGACCCCAACAAAACCACTTGCATAAACAAGGTGGCCTGGCAAACTGTCATCAGGAAACCACGAGGGGGGCTAGGTATAATCGACCCTAAACAGGAAACGATCGCCCTCCAAATCAAATGGATAATCAAAATCCTAACCAAACAAGCCTTCCCGTGGACTACGATGGCGATAGACAACATAACGAATTTGGCACCAGAAGCGACCCCACCGAACATGAGTGGCCTATTCTGGATCATGGCAAAGGAGTAGACAATCAAATCGGGAAGACCAGCAAGGAAAACTAACCCAGTGACCCCCATTCGAGCCCCCACTACACCCACCCCCTGCTGGTCTCCGATCCTTAAAACCTGGCGCCGTCTGATGAAAGAAAAGAAAGGCCCCCCGGGCAACAAAGAGGAAGTCCTATGACAACCCCTGTTCTGAAATCCCTGGATCAAAGACACAGAGGGCAGACCGTGGACTCTCCAGGCCAAAGACCCCAAATGGCTGTCATGGGTGGAGAGAGGAGTATGGAAGGTCAACATCTGTGGTCCGAAGACCGACAAGAATGACTCACCACACAGGACCTCCGCACTCCCTTAAAAGGCTGCCATCTACTGACCACCAACCTGTCCGAAATCCTCCAAAGCATTTCCCCCCCCATGGACGACCCTCCTAAAAGAGACACATAAGTGGAAACCAGGAGGCTGGGGACTGCTCATCGCACAGACCCCACCAACGAAAGCCTACCGTTTTGTGTCAAAACCAAACTTAATCAACTACCAGGCCAAGTCCATATCCTACCCCATCATCAAACACAACCTATATGAACTAGAGATCCTAAACAAAACACCACAGAACGAACAAATAGAAACCTGCCTTCTCAGGAAGGTTAGTCTCTCACAAGACACCCTGGCTTATATTCCAGTCGGAACTCAGCATCAACGAATTGGAATTCGACCCAAAGGAATGGATCTGGGATCTGGGCGCTGCCAGTAAATCGAGAAGGATAACAGAATATGACGTAAAGTTCGGGTATAACCTCGGACTACAAACCAGGGACCCGAATTCAAGGCTGGCAGAGAAATGGAGAACCATACTGAACCCAGATACCACGACCCCCATCACCATCACGTGGACCAAATACCTTCTCATCAGACCAAGTAGAATCCGAAGTATGCAATGGCTATTAGCGCATGCAGCCCTGCCAGTCGACCAATGGTTACACGAGAGAAGGAAACATTCTGATCCTGATAGCTCGGCATGCTGCTCCATGTGCAGCAACGACTCACCCGAAGACATCCCCCACTGCCTCCTCTTCTGCCCTGAAGCAATCTGGATATGGAAGAAGATCCACGAGTTATGGTCGATCCCGTTCACTGCCCCCCCCCCCCCC